GCACACTGCCGGCTCATGTCCAGTGATGGGAATCTGCATTTTGGGAAAGTCTTGGTGAACTCAGTTGTGGAGTCTTGTTAGCTCCTGTTCTTAGCTGATGCTACTTCAGATTCTGCTTTTCTAAATATCTGGCCAAATCTGCTCAAATGGCACTTTTTGTCTTGCAGGGACTTAAAACCGGAGAACATACTCCTGGATTGCCAGGTACATTCACAGCTCATGGGGGACTATGGTTCTGCAAGCTGGGCTATAGCTCACTTCATTGCATGGATTTAGTATGTATGCACCACTGCATTTCTGTGCAGCTCCTGCAAGTGGGAGTGAGCCTGCCCTCTGCAGAACTGCACACTTGAACATGGGTAATGCAGTGGCAAAAGCACAGAAGTGCTGGATCTCTTCATAGCTATGTCACTACAGACAAATTTAAAAATCCAGACTCTACTTTCTCTATAGAGTCCTGTACGTGTACTACAGAACGTCCAGGAGGTGAGGGAAGGGAAGCAGATGAACAGTGGGGAACTAAAATATGTGAGACGTAATGTGAAGGCAAATGCTTGGAAAATCTGTCTCGTCACTGGAAGAATGGGCCAAGCTGAAACTTCTTTCTTTTTTAGGGACACATAGTATTGACGGACTTTGGTCTCTGCAAAGAAGGGATGGAGCAAGAGGAGACAACCTCCACTTTTTGTGGCACTCCTGAGGTACAGCATGTGCTGGGACACAGTGAACTGGGGGCTAGAAGCCTGCAGAGACTTGCTGCTCTGGGTCTCAGACTTGTATGGGTGCTCAGCACCGCAAAATATGGGCTCTGTGAATTGGATTGCCTTGGGATCTTTGAGGCTGTCAGCCTGAAGCTGGAGGTCAGATAAGGCCTTTCCTACTCAGCAGAGACTGGTAACAGCTGATTAGTACTCTGAATTTGCTGTGCTATCAGGGGTAGGGATCCCTGCACTTGGAAACGGTTGGTGTTGTGAAACTGGGGCTGCTCCAGGTGGCTGTGGAGACAACCTTGACCCTGGGAGCCCATAAGCAAGCCTGTGGGCAGGCTGTTTACCTACCCTGATACCCTGGAGGTGCAGAACTGGTTGCCTGCTAGTACTGACACACACAGGACCTTGCTGTGCCCTTCTACATGTCCTTGGTGTGCAGGAGCTGCAAAACAACCTGGGCAGAGGAGGAGACCACACTCCCTGTAATGTGAACAGTACTTGGAGGGAATAAATTGCCTGTTCTTCAATGTACCTCGGATACTTTTGGCTAAAAAAATCTTTCCAATTTGGCTTCTTGGAGGCTTTTTTTTCCCCTTTCTCCTTACTGAGCTGGGGATTTGGGTAGCACTTTGGTCTAGGTAATACACCTGTCCTGCTGCCTCAGACAGCTTGAAGAAGGGGCTGTAAACAAGACACTTCTCAGTATTCCAGCTCAGTACAATCAGGCAGGAATTTCCTGGTTGTAGCCCTCAGGTTTCAGCAGTCACCCACTTATGCAATAGTACAGCAGGATCCAAGCGGGAACGTTCAAGCTTTATTTTGTGGTTTTTGGTGTGTGGTGGTTTGTTTGGGTTTTTCCCTGCCTTAGATAGGGAGCCTGATAGTACACAGAGATAGTCCTGTGTGAGAGCAGGCTTGATGTGCTGCTTGAATTCCTCCTGGTTGCTCCTTAGTGGTGGTTACTGGTAGTTCTGTTGCTTTGAACAGACTTGATGTGACTGAAAACTGCAGCTCTCAGAACTCCAGGAGCCCCTTAGAGGTGTAGTGTGTCAGTGCAGGATGTGCTTGCTGACTGAGTTGTGATGGGTGGCAAATCCTTAAACAAGTTCTCTATAGGCAGAGAACCTTGTGTATCCCAGGGAAGAAGAAGAAAAAAAAAAAACACCACTTCGGGGGTTTTGGTAGGGTTTTCCCAACCCACTGCTTTGAAGCAAGTGGAGAGCCTGTCAAAGCATAGGGAAGCACACAGATGCTTTTTTACTGATATTTGCTCAGTTTGAACTGCAGACAGGTTTGCGTACTTACGAGGACAAAGCCCTTCATAATTTAAATCAAATACTTACTTCTGACTCTTCCCAGTACTTGGCTCCTGAGGTGCTAAAGAAGCAGCCGTATGACAGGACAGTAGACTGGTGGTGCCTGGGAGCTGTTCTCTACGAGATGCTGTTTGGACTGGTAAGCTTAGCAGCCATCTGTTTTACTCTGCATAGTGGAGAATTAATTTCTGAAAACTGATGTGAGGTTGGTCTGATGTTCATGTGGTGCCTGACGCAGACAAAGGAATTCTGAATTAGATGACCTGTTTCAGTTATACCATTGCCCTTTGAAAGAGATATCTATTTGATACCTGAGATATGGCAGGTCTCCCTCATCTCCTTCTGCAGGACTCATTTTTTTGACCTGTGATGTGTGATTCTTTACGGTACCTTGTGTCTTACCTGGCTGCTTCTCCTCTCTTTCAAATTAGCCTCCTTTTTACAGCCGGGATGTGTCTCAGATGTATGACAACATTCTGCACAAGCCACTCCAGATCCAAGGAAGCAAGACTGTGGCAGCTTGTGACATCCTCCAGGGACTTCTCCACAAGGACCAGAAGCGGAGGCTGGGTGCCAAGACAGACTTTGTAGGTTGTCTCCATTAGGATCAGGAGGGAGGATGGATAAGAAACCTTTCTATTCTGAGCCTTTTTTTTTATTATAACAACACTGCCTTGGAATAAGCTTTCCATGCATGCTGCTGTCTCTCCAGCTCCCTAAAAGGGGCACATGGGGTTGACTTGGATTTCCAAAGTCCATGGTTCAAGGTGTGGTGGAAAGCTAGGACACCAATGTGTGGTGGTGTCATCTCCCTTCCAGGAATTACTGGACCATGACCCTCATGTATTAAAGATTTGGTACTTGGCCCCTACATGGATATGTGGTAGCTCCAAGTCTTGCTTCAGCCACTTCATCCTATGAAACCAGTTGACAGGTGCTGGAAAAGGAGGGTTGGCAGACATCTGATTTTTTTTTTTTTTTCCCTGCTTTCTATGCAGCTTGAGATAAAGAACCATGTATTCTTCAGCCCAATAAACTGGGATGACTTGTATCACAAGAGGATTACTCCTCCATTTAACCCCAATGTGGTGAGTATTTCTGATCTCTGTTACACAGTGGTACAAAAGGAATTCTCTCCAGATGTCTTATGCTGACACTGAGGGATGCTGAAGTGCAGGTTAGTAACTGCAAATGCAGTAGTGATGATCCTTGGAAGGGCAGCTCTGTTAGTGACTAGTTGGGATCTGCTCACTGAAATGACTGTGTGTCTCTCTGCTCCTTGGCTTAGGCCGGTCCAGCTGATCTGCGACACTTCGATCCAGAGTTCACCCAAGAAGCGATCTCTGCTTCCATCACCCACACGCCTGACCTAGCAGCCAGCAGCTCCAGTGCCTCAGATGCATTTTTAGGATTTTCTTATGCACCAACTGAAGAGGGCATTTAGGTTTTTATAAAGGCTTTGAGAAGCCAGATTTTAACTGAATGGGGTTTGGTTTTCCTTTTTTTCTTTTTTTCTGAAAGGATTGGTACTGATCTTTGCTCATGGCTTAAGGAAATTTGGACTAATACACTAACTGGCTGGGATGGAACAGAGCTCTTAACTTTTGCTCTTTGGCGGATTTCCCTCTAAATCACTGTTCCCCTGGCAGGGAAAGTGCAACGCTATTATTATTTTCCCTCTGAGTTTCTTGTGCTGCTTGGCAGAATTGTATTCACTCTGTGGTTGTATTTATGGTTGAGCCATGTCCCTCTAACTGGCCACTTTTTTATCTTTTTTTTTTGTTGTGTGCCAGCTATCTCCAACTGCTTTGCCCCCTCCCCATAGAGAGGGAAACTCTTCACACTACCCAAGAGCAGTGGCTTCCCTTAAGTGGGCTGTGCCGCTTAAGGCCCTCATCCTGGACTGACAAACTGCTCATCAGTTACTGCTCCAAAAATGGCTAGATGTTTTTAAGCCCTGAAGTGCACTGTGGCCTTTCATGCCAGCCGGTCCCTCCCCAAAGTGAGCGGATCATCTCTCTCTGGTCCAGGATTGGGATGCTGTTGAAGCAACAAGGAGGCTGTTATGGAGAAGCCAATGTGTGTGTGGAAAATCCCAGCTAAAATGGGTGGGGAAGAGGCTCAGTTGCTGGAGTAAAAAAATAAAAACCTTATAGCCAAAGCTTGCCTGGGTTTGGGGATCCTTTCACAGCATGTGCTTGACTTGCCTGAAGCATACCAGCACTAGTGGAACGAGCACGATGCAGTGCGCGGGGCAGCGCATGGCGCTGGGCCCTCACACGCAGCAGTGGGCCTCGGGCTCCTGCTCCCCTCCACCTGTCGCTGGTGTACAACGGTTGTGTGTTCTGCCTTAATTCAAATGCTGGTATGTGCATTGGGTGTCACCTCCCACTTTTTTTTTTAAGTAACTTTGTTCTGTTGCGTGGGGAGAAGGGGCACCGAGAGCTAACTGCGACACAGGCATGAAGAAGGGGCTTTCTCGAAGCGGTGCGATGCTCGCGTGGTTGGGAAGCTTGTGCTCAAACCATTTTTTTATGGGACTTTATCTTGTAGACGCTGAAGTCATCAGCAATGTGACATGGTTTATATTAAAGTTATACACGGTGCTCCTGTCTCTGTCCTGGCTGTGAGGGAGCGGGAGGGCAGGGAGGTGGGTGTGGGGCTGTTCCTGCCCTTGGCTGAATGCAGGAAGTCGCTGAAGCTTTTTCTAATTAACTGTAACATCCCCGACTTCAGACTCAAGAGGAACACTGGAATTTTTGCTTTTACCTGGGCCTAAGGCCCAGAAACCTGGTCTCAGGGTGAGGGGTGCAGCCGCCTGAGGGGACACGGGCTTGCGCATGCCCACTGGCAGAAGAGGGCTGGGCCGGGGCGGCCTTGCGCGGGGCCCGGGCAGGAGGAGGGCCGACCGGCCGCTTCCCCCCGCGCCGCAGTGGTACCGTC